TTTCTTTAAAAAAAAAAAAAAAAAAAAAAAGAATGAGACCCCAAGAAAAGGATGGCTCCGGTGGCTCCTGGGACAGTGCAAGGGGATCCAGGGTCGGCTTTCTTTACCAGAGAGGCTACTAACCTCTACTTTGCCGAGAAGTCTGAGAGCAATGCATTCTATCCCACAGCCTGCTGTATCTAATACCCTGGGATGCTCAGCTCTCTCCTGTTTCCTGGCTGCTAGTGACAAGGGACAGCTCGAGTCCTCACTGAGCAGGGCCTTGGGATCTGCAGCTCTTTGAGCAGCAGCTCAGATCTTGTCCAAAGTGTCCTCATGCAGTGCCTTCTCCAGTGGCTCATGCTCAGCTCACATAATTGTGCCTGACTGTTGTTACCTAGGTTTCTGGGCTGTGGAACTTTGGGCTGCTCTCTCCCTGAAATTATGCAGAACACTCCAGAGCTGGAGAGACGGCCCAGTCGGCAAGGAGCTTGCTGGGCAAGCCTGGGGGCTTGAGTTCAACCCTCAGTACCCACTTAGAGCCAGATGTGGTGGATCTGAGTTCAATCCTCAGTACCCACTTAAAGCCAGATGTGGCGGATCTGAGTTCAATCCTCAGTACCCACTTAGAGCCAGATGTGGTGGATCTGAGTTCATTCCTTAGTACCCACTTAGAGCCAGATGTGGTGGTTCCTGCTTTGAGTCCCCACACTGGACACTGGGCAGGTGGAGACAGGTGTGTCCCTGGGGTTCACTGGATTTGTGAGTGTCAGGCCAGTAAGAGAGCCTGTTTCCAAACAGAAGATGGATATGACAACCAGGGGTAACCTCTGGCTTACACACACACACACACACACACACACACACACACACACACACACACACTTAAACTCTAGGGTAGATTTATTTTTGTAACACCCTGAAGTGAACTTAATGTTGCATCCCTCTTTGGATTTTCACCCAGCAGGCCCAGACTGATTCCTCTACCCTACTCTACCCTACCCTACCCTGTGCTACCCTACCCTACCCTACCCTACCCTACCCTACCCTACCCTGTGCTGCCCTATCCCTCTGTTAACTGGTAACTAGTGAAGTTGAGCTTCTGTTCATATATCTCCTGATTGTCTCTGTCGGGGTTACTGTTGCTGTGATGGAACACCATGACCAAAAGCACCTCGGTGAGGAAAGGGTCTACTTGGCTTATACCTCCCATCATAGTCTGTCACTGAAGGAAGTCAGGACAGGAACCTGGAGACAGAAACTGAGCCATGGAGGGGAGCTGCTTACTGGCTTGTTCCCCATGACTTGCTCAGTCTGCTCTCTTACAGAACCCAGGACCACCAGCCAAGGGATGGCACCACCCACAGTGGGCTGAGTCCTTCCACGTCAATCGCCAATCAATATAATACCCTATAGACTTGCCTATGGCCCAATCTCATGGATGCGTTTTCCTCAACTGAGGCTTCTTCTTCTCTGATGACTCTAGCTTGTGTCAAGTTGGCATAAAACTATCACGAACACTAAACTTTTTGACTCATTTTTCTTCTGGTTTGTGTTTTTTTTTTAATTGGTAGTTTTACTGAAGTTGTGTGTGTGTGTGTGTGTGTGTGTGTGTGTGTGTGTGTGTGTGTGTATGCACACACATAGTAAATTAGTATAGCTTCCTGATGCATAGTCAGATTGCTCACCGTCTCTTCTCTAGCACTGGTTGTGACAGCCTGCTTTTTCTTTTTGATGTGCAGGGTCCTCGTGGGTGCACCAAAGGCAGATTCTAAATACAGCACTTCAGTCAAGTCCCCTGGAGCTGTGTTTAAGTGCCGCGTCCACACCAACCCCGAACGGAGATGCACCGAACTGGACATGGCTCGAGGTGGGTGGACATGATTGTCAGCATAGATTTGGGACCGACACCTTCATCCTTTGCCCTTTTTGTACGTAGGATGGCCTCATCATCCACCCACCTGCCCTCTCTCCCCCTGTCCTTCCCTCTGTCTCACAGACGTAACTGAGATCCTTTAGTCATTAGACTCTGGGATAGGCTAATGAACAAAGCAAACAAGGAACCTGTCATCCTGGGCCTTGAAAATCGGCAGCCAGAACAGACATTAAAATAAACAACAGAGTAAGTGAAACCCAGAGGGAAGGTGTGTGTTAGGATCAACTCCCTATTGGAGGTTAGAAGAGGCCTCCTTGGGGACCTTTCTGTGTATGGAAGGTGACTGGTAGCTGGCTGGGCAGGTCCAGGAAGTGAAGTCTCCAAGTGGAGCAATGACAGTGTCCCTGGTAGACCAGTTGGCCTGGTTCTGGTCCAGCTGTACATCCTGGGAATGGCTTGAGAAGACTGAGATAGGAGAGGAGGCGGGTGGCTCGCTTACCATTCCCAGGCCTTGCTTTCCCCAAAGCCCTTTCTCACCAAGACTTTTTCATCATCACGTTTTATACACAGAGGGCTGTGGAGATGACTCAGTTGTCAAGTCTTTGTTGTGAAAGCATGAGGTTCTGAGTTAATCCCTTAGAACCCACTTTAAAAACTGGATGTGATCTCATGAGCCCTCAACTCTAGTGTTGAGGACATGGAGGTAAGAGTCCCTTAGGATCACTCTGCCTCAAAGAATAAAGTGGAGAACAATTGAGGAAAACTCCTGGCATCAGCCTCTGGACTCAACATACATGAACACACACTTGAATGCACACCCCCAACATGTATGCACATATACAAACATGTAAACCCACATACATGAATGCACACCCCCAACATGTATGCACATACACAAACATGTAAACCCACATACATGATTGCACACCCCCAATATGTGCGCACATACACAAGCATGTAAATACACACACACACACACACACACACACACACATACACACACACAAATGCACATCCCCAACATGTGCACACACACATGCAAAATTGTAAACATACACAACAAAGCAACAACAAAAACCCCCAAAGAATTGTCCTGGCTTTTTCTTATCAGAAGTCTTGTCCATGTGTGAGTTACAATGACTTCTCAGACATCCATGGTACGCCATTTTCTTCATGGAGAACTTTGCCATGGAAGAAGAATGGGCTGAATTAAACAGCGACATTTCGTCCCAAGTTTCTATGGAGTTGACACTTTGTTTTAAGTCACAAAAAATTGAGCCCCCAGGACCCCTTTTGGGAAAGCAGCCAGCTGTACCACTCCTCCACCCAACCCTGGTCTCTCTTCTCCCTCCAGGGAAGAACCGGGGTGCGCCCTGTGGGAAGACCTGCAGGGAAGACCGAGATGATGAGTGGATGGGGGTGAGCCTGGCCCGGCAGCCCAAAGCGGATGGTCGTGTTCTGGTAAGACCTCTGGGGAGGGGGTGACCTGGGACAGGGTGGCACCCTAAGAATGAAGGACTCATAGGCAAGTTGGCTGGTGGGAAGTCAGAGCACAGCTTTTTAGCTTGTCTGTCTGCTCTGCTGCTTTGAGGTATGTCCAGCCTGCAGCTTCAGGCCACATGCAACTGCATGCAGCAGAGGACAGCTGTGTATGTGGCCAACACAAAACCATGAAGTCACTTGAAACATTGTGAGACACTTTTGTGATATTTAAAAATAACTCGGTTGTGCCGTTCTCACGTGTGAACCTCGAAAGTGACGGTATCAAAGGTTGACACACTTAGGATTTGTTTTTGTGTTTTCTTCAGACACACTGGGCTAAGGGGGTAGCTCAGTGGTAGGGTGCTTTCCCAGCATGCATCAGTCCCAGGAAGCATTAGGAGAGAGTAGAGGACATAAAGGTAGAAAGAAGTTTGTGATTTCATTTACTACCTAAGTATTTTTGTGTATGTCTTCAGGTCAAGGTATCATTTACATAAAATACGTAAGTCTTGTGGTTTTAGCAAATTCACATGTTTGAACATCTCAGGAAGTTCTCTGTATCTTTATGTAGTTAACCCCTTGAATCCCAGAGGCAGCCACTGCCTTGCAAACACTGCTGTTGGTTTTTCTAGAATTTCACATGAACGTAATTCTACGAATGTGTTCAATTCCTGGGACAACCACGGTGAAGGGAGAGATCTCACTCCCACAAGTTACCCTCTGAAGTACATACACACACACACACACACACACACACACACACACACACACACACACAAACAAACAACAAACAGACACATAAATGTAATGAAAAAAGAACCTCTGCGACCGAGACTTGGTTATTAGCCGTTTTCTCTTTCTTCTTTTACACTCTCCTGTTGAGTTATAAGCTGAGGCACTCAAGCATGCATACCTCACAGCTTGGTAACATTCTCACACCTGTACACTCAGGCATCCCCGTGGCCAGCACCTTGAAGGCTCCTTGTGCCCTTTCTCTGGTGGCTGGCACCCTGTAGGGTGATCCTCTTCAGAGGATCCAGTTTCTGACATTAGCTTTCCTCGAAGGCTTAGGAAGATTTGTGTCTTAAAAGTTCAAGGTCAAGAAGAGAAAGTGAGTCCAGCTGCTGCATCTCAGGGGTTTCCACTGCTGCATCTCAGGGGTTTCCTTTGGGCCATAAGCCGTCAAAGCTGAGGCTTTATGGATGTTTGCTCCCAGGGGAAATGGGTTTTCCTCAAGGATACAAGCCAAAAGTTCCCAGCCCCCTCTGAGGAGCTCTGCTCTCTGTGGATCGCAACCCCACCTCGGCACACTAAGGAGCCCCCACACTGATGGGTCCTTGGAAGAGAGGAAGCAGCTGGCTGCTGTCCCCAGCATTGCAGGGCCTCCTCACTGGACACTACTGTGGGTCTCACTGAACTGCCCCCATGTCTGCTGGCCTTGGATTCCAGTCCTCTAATTCCTGTCTCAGCAAGCCATGGATGATGGCCAAGCCACCACATTCCTCTAGGCATGGTGGCCTGACCCCACAGGGCGGTTCAGTCCCAAAGGGCAGGGACTCTTGCCTGTCATTCTTGGGAAAGAGGGGGAGAAATCAAGTATGTATATTCTCCAAAGGGGACCAAAGCCTCAACTCAGAACCAAGAGAGAGGAGGAGGCAGCTGGAGACAGCAGTGCACGAGATACCCCTCCAGGCAGAGTCTAGAGATAGCCCACTCTGCCAAGATACACTTCCTTGGGGATGTGGACCCTCAGTGTGGCTGAGAGCTTGTTTGCAAAGGAGCAAGACAAAGACCCAGCCCTGTGCCTGTTGGTAGAGACTGGATCCAGTGTGGGGTCTGAAACAACAGTGAGGAGCACGGGTGACATTTGGCAGAGGAGGCAGGAAGGCAGGGCTGAGTATTTGTGGGAAGTGGTGCTGTGGGCAATCCTGTCTAATCGAGCTCAACCCCTGCCTTACACGATGCTCGTATCATTCGTTCGGTAAGCCGCCCCCTGTGGTCCTGGGAAGGAGAGGCGGGCATGGAGGGTGTCCACAGTTCTCACGACGATGGAGCGCCTCAGCCTTCAAGAGAATTATGTGCTCTGAGGGCTTTTATGCTTTCTTTGGGCATGTGTGTCACTGATAAATGAAAAGCTCACCTTCCTGCCAAAATCAGCACCACACTACATGTGGAAACATTGTTGGAAACACTGTCACACAACAGCTCTCTAGGACTCTTGATCCTGCAAATGCCAAACTCTGCATCCATTGAACAGGACTCTCTTCCTACCACCCCCTGGTTCCTGGTAACCATCATTCTGATTCTGAAGTGCTCAAATGTGTCGGATCCTGTTCGAGTGGAAGTGGGCAGTATTTGTCTTTTTGTGATGGTTTCTCTTCATTTAGGGCAGTGTCTCACTGCTCAGCTCTGTCGTAGCCTATGGAGGATTCTTCCTTTTCTCTCAAGACCCAGTGATACTTTATCACATGTACACAGCGTGTTTTCTCCATTCATGGATGCATGTTTATGTGGCTCCTAGCTCCTTGCCATTATGAATAATGTTGCTATAAACATCAACAAAGATTTGAGACCTCATTTTTAATTTCTTCTGGGCATATATGTGGAAGTGGGATTGTCAGACCACATGGTAATTTTACTTTTTATTGTTAGAAAGACTTTGTCCCTCTAAAGTGCATGAACCATTTTGCGTTTGGCCAGCATGCAGAAAGTTCCAGGAACATTTGTTCTTCTGCTTGCTCTTCTTGTCCTGTGGTACTGAAGATAGAGCCCAAGCCTTGTGCATGCTGAGCACATGTCCTTGTTACTGAGCCACACTCCCAGCACACTCCATTTCCTTTTTAAACCGTGGCCACCCTAAAGAGTGTGAGGTGATACTTCATGATGGTTTTGTTTTCAGGTGTGTGGTGTGTGTGTGTGTGTGTGTGTGTGTGTGTGTGTGTGTGTACATGTTACTTAAATCCATTTTCTTTTTCTTTAATGTCTCACTTTCATCTGTGAAATCTTTCTGGAGACAGTATTATTTTTTTTAATTAAAGGTAGAAAAGGCATTTTGAGCCCCCAGGAGTACCTTGTAGCACAGGATGAGACCTGTCTCCCTAGGGATACCACCTTTGATTTCAAGGATGGGGTAGAGGGGTGGGGGAGGCGGATGGCTGCTTTGAAAGAGAACCTGGTGTGGATTTCAAAGCAAAGAATGGAGGGGGACTTGGAGAGCTGTGACAGGGAGTGAATTGTCTCAATGCCAAATGGCCATATCTGGACCAAAGCTGGCAAGACCCAGGATGTCAAGCTAGCTCGTCAGGCTGACTAGCTCAGTGGCTGCCCGTCTTGGCTCTGTGGATAATGTGGTGTCTTCCAGTTTCCCTGGGGACCGAATGATCCTTGAAACAGATGCTGCATCAGGACCGAAGGCAAGTTCCTTTGATTCTCACTCTGCTCTGTGCCCCTGGAGTACTGATATAATGTTTTCAAGAACAGGGGAGGCGGGCTGGAGATGGCTTAGTCAGTGATGCCATGCAAGCAGGCGTGAGGTCCCGAGTCCAGATCACCAGCACCATGAAGCCAGCACAGCCACTCATGTCTGTAACCGTCGCCCTGGGGAGATAGGGACAGTGGACCCCTGGAGCTCACTGGCCAGCCAGCCAGGTCAGACTGCAGGTGAGCTCCAGGTTCACTGAGAGCTTCTGTTTCAAAAATAAAGCTGGGAAGCAGTGGAGGGAGATGCTCTATATGGACCTCTGCCCTCCATATGCACACACGCACACACGCACGCATGCACGCACACACACATGCACACACGCACACACGCGCACGCACACACACACACGCATGCACGCGAACACACACACATGCACACACACTCACACACATGCACACACACACATGCACACACTCACACACACATGCACATACACACACACTCACGCACACGCACATACACATGCACACACACACTCACACACACCTACCTTGGATGGCAGCTAGAGCATTCAGAACCACTGTCTCTCCTCATCAGAGCTGCCGAGCCTTAGATAACAAACTGTATCTAAACTGCTCAGAGTTTTTCTGGGTGGAAGCAGTATCTTCCGGCTCTAACTTCTGTTTCCTTTCTGCCTGTCAGAGCTCTCTCCCTCTCATCTGTCTACTTCCCTTGTGTCCATTTTCTTCAAAGCCTCCGGGGATGTTCCTGTGAGTTTCCCTGTCGCTGTTTCCTGGTCTGGTGTGTGTGCGTGTGGATGAGGGCTCCACTGAGATATGCAAATAAGTGCAGAAGCCGTGAGAACACACTCTGCTGAGTTTTCCTTAAGTTAACAGCTGCCAAACAATATTCCTGGCACCTTCCACCCCAGAAACTTTTCCTGGGCCTCCCAGGCTGCCACCTGCTCCGGGGTGGCATCCCAGCCTCGATTTTATCCTGTGCCTGCCACACGTGTCTTAGTGGCCATGGCGTGGCCTGGCTGTGCATGGTGGACCTGGAAGCATGACAAAGGCGTGTCCTTCTGTGCACAGTCAGCGCAGGTGTGTGAGGGCGGCAGGGACAGACGGGCATTTGTGACCAAGCCACCCTCCAGGAAGGAATGCTGTGTTCACACAACAAAGAAGGCCTTTGAAGGAAACTGGACATTTTTCCCTCGGGAGGAAAATCCACCCTTCCAACCTGAGATGTGTGAGAGACCAAGATTTGGGGTGATGGTGGGTCTTCAGCCCTTTCTAGGGTGATTTGGATGCTGAATTTAAACAGATTATTGCCTCCTGGATGACCTCCTCCCCCCCTCCTCCCCCTCTCCTCCCTCTCTTCCTTCCTCTCCTCCTCTTCTTCCTTCTCCTCTTTCTTCTTTTCTCTTTCTCTTCCTTCTCCTCCATGCTGTTTCTTCTTTCTCTTCCCCCTTCTCCTCCTCTTCTTTCTTCCCTCATCTCAAACCCAGGCCTTGTTCACACTCCTAGTCACACACTGCACATTGTTCACACTCCTCATCACACACTGTACCTTGCTCACACTCCT